GTATGACTCTGCCGGAGTTCGAACCACCGACATCCCGCATCCGAGATGGACGCTGTAACCATTTGGCCATCAGAGAGATCATTCCAATATTGAATCCGTCAGAGATAATTTATGTAGTTAAAACTTTAAACTGTCGTGTATCTAATGGTTGTTACGACTCTTCGGTCTTAAACTTCGTAACAGAAAGATGCAAAGTCAACAAGTTTTGTAACAGTTTACAAATAATTTAATTATAACATGAAAATTTAAGAGGAACCTATATTATTGTGAATTAAATCCCACAAGTTTTATCACAAGTCCCGAAATATAATCTTACCTAATCCTGTGTGTCTGTCAAAAATTTTCTTCGCTCTTTGTTTCAGATTATATGTTTTTGGCTCTTTTAAAATCTTGTCAACTATCTCCATGTTGTTGACCAAGTTCAGATCTTAACCAATCTTTCTTTTTTGTCAGACTTCGCAACGAAAACATTATCTTCAGGTTTTAATTTCACTTTTTTACACTATTTGTAACAGTAGGTTGGTTTCTAGTTATTCCAAAGGGTCATTTTTAATTGTACAGTACATTACGCTTTGTTGGCGGTTGAATTCGTTGAAATTATTGAAATTATTGTGTATGTATCTTTAATTTTGTTTCATTTTGACACCAACTTTGTTTGTATTCGTTACTGGATGCAGTCACTGATAAATCTGGTGCATGTAAATTCCAAATAAGTTAAATTTTGGAAGGATATTATCAGACATAAGTGAGTGTAGCAATTTTGGTAGCTTTTCGCAATGTGCAGTTTGTACTGTATTTAAATTTTTAATTTAAATAATTCTGTGTTTTGTTACTGGCTTAAGAAAAATAATTGACGAATTGTCAACAACCCACATAAGCTCGTTTTCATAATCTCTTTTTTGTTTGTTTTTTTTAAATCTTTACCTTCTTTTCTGGACAGTTTACCATTTATTAGACGTTTTGGAATATATTAAAATGTCATGAAAATAGGGTGTAAGAAAAATAATAATAGAGTTGCTACAATTTTTATTTATACATATTATATATTGTAAACTATGAAGATGTTTAAACATTACAGTGGAATACGCCTTCTTAAAATGTTAAGCAAACTAGGTTGTACACCTTAACGGAAGCATATTTGGCAGGTAATCCTTTTTTATAATGCTAACTATTTGACTAGAGATAAGGGAGTTAAGGAATTTGTTGAATTAATAACTATGGACTTAAAATCAGGTGAAGTTCAGGAATTTATTAAGTAATACCTATTGACTGAGATATAGATGGAGTTTAAGAATTTTTTGATTTGATAGCTATTGAAGAGATATAGGTGGGTTTTAGAGGTTGTCGAATCAATAACCAATGAGTTAGCTATTAGTAGAGTTTATGGGTTTATGGGTTTCTATAATTAATGACAACTGACTGAAATATATATGTTGTTTAGGAAATTGTGAAGTTAATTAATACTGAAGGAGGGGTAACTGGAGTTTATGTGTTTGTCGAATTCATAACAATAGACTGCGATATAGATGGAGTTCGTGAGTTTGTGAATTAATAACCAAGCCAAGCAATATAGACGGAGTTGTGCGAATTTCTTAATTGAAATATTGGGCATAAGCTGCTTATAACGTCCTCGGACCAATAGTGGACTTAAACTTCTTTTAAAGTCCTTGGACCAATTGTGGACATAAATTGCTTTTCACGTCCTCGGACCAATAGTAGACATAAACTGCTTTTCGTGTCCTCGGATTTAGGTAACTGAGTAGTCTAAGACACCTGGATTTACTGGTAATTGAGATCTCATCTTTGTCATAGTGGGTTCGAGTCAACGTGTGTATCAGAAAAAGCTTGATTCCTATCGATCTATGGTTCTTCTCAGCGTCTTCTCGAATTCTTCCTCCACCAAATATACATGTCGACATGTAAAATCATCATGTGCTGAAAAATGGTGTTCAACTCACAAAACCAAACCAAACTTTCCTCATTCGAATCTTAGTATTATTAAAAGCAAATTTCACTTCTTGCTGCTTTTATCCTTAATTTTTGACAGTTCGTATTAACAATCTTCATTCAGATTTACATCTTAACGTGTTCAGCACCAGGGGTTTTTTTATGTTACTTACTTACTGTTATCTATCTTAGGAATACAATGATTCGTTGTTGTGACATAACGTATACTCTGTATTGCCCAGGATTCTTATGCATGTATCTTAAACATTGAGCACAAGTTGATTACCTCTATAATATGCAAGGGAACGGTGCAAGTACTAAGAAGCCTGCTTGGCAAAGAGAGTGGGATACATATAAGGTAACTACTTCAGTAAATATTTGCCTGTCTGGAAGTGTGGAATCTTAACACTCCCAATTTGTACAATAACAAGACATTAAGTCTCACAGGACAGTTTGGGGGGGGGCAAAATTTTATCCGACGATGACCTATTGCAGAAAAATGATAACAATTTTTCAATTAAAGATACAAATAAAAACTAATGATTTTCATTGAAAGGATGCTTGCAAGGTTCTGACTAAGGTACTAAGGTTAATTTCTTATGCAACTGGTGATTTTGATTCTGAACCTATACTACCACCAACCCCTCTATTTTACATTCATTTTTGACAGACAAGATCTATTTTCAACCTGTTCCTGTGAGAAGCCAGCACACAGTCTGTATGTACCTTATTCGTATCGAAAGTTCACTAGTACTATAACAGATTAACATATTTTTTATCACACCTCAACCATGTAGATTTTTAGATATTTACCTTTGTAGCAGACACGTGTAAATACGTAAGCCAAGTCGGCTGCACATTTTCAGCCCAAGTTACGCATTTGATCTCCAATGCTAGTCTATCTGTGACAGGCAGTCACCATCAAGGCATCCCATTTACAAGCCTAACTCAAAGTAAATGTAAACCACATTACAGATTTTGCTTATGTGTGAATTTATAAATGCTAGGGTTGTCATAATTAGGCTCATGCCTTCTACCTTCAAAATTAGGGAGATGGGGTCAAAATACAAAACTATCCAGTGAGAACTTATATTAAAAATTACATATTTCAAGTGAAACTGTACGAATGAGAATTAGCTACTTTAAAAAGAAGAAGCAATTTCTTCCGTGAATTGTATCCTACGAATCCAGATGGATTCCACGTAAAAAAAAATAATAATAACATCCGTAGATTACTATTACACAATGTTACCAACAAACCTGTTACACTACCAATTAATAAATAGCAGAACAACGTTTGCACCAAAATAGAATTCCGGTCTAGGCCTCACACCGTAGAGTTGATGAACTCAGTAGAATTTCCATCTGCATCATTAAAAGAACTCTATAATAAAAACGCTTTCCGCTTTTATCTCAGATTTTTCAACAGCCATTTACTTGAGATTATAAACGCTCTTTTGAGGGGCCCCGAGTGTCCCAGTGGTCTATAGTGCTGTCCGTTACGGATCACTGCCATCTCACCTCATTCTGCGTGGGTTCGAATCTAAGATTCGGCGAATGTGGATATGTGAGAAAGCTTGCCAGTAGCTTCGCGTGGGTCGTTGGTTCTTTCTGGTGATTTCCCGGTTTCTTCCTTCACCATTAATACTGGCTGCCATGAATAGCTTATCGTGTGCTGAAAAATGGAGTTACGCCCAACAACAATAAACGCTTTTTCTAATCTAAGCGATTCAGATAAAAAAGATGACATGTGAACAAACGGCTGCTTTGTAGTACAAAACTTAAAACAAAAGCAAAATCTAAACCAAATTATATGTCAATTAAAAGTATTTTCCTTCGCAAAAGTAAACGAATTTTTATCATATTTTATCCGGCCCTTTATTTCAGAGGCTCAGATGGTTACAAAGCAACGTGTCATGGGGCGCATATATATATATATATATATATATATATATATATATATATATATATATATATATATATATATATATATATATATATATATATATATATATAACATAGTGCCTGGTTACTCATTGTATACTGTAGCCAAAATAAATGCAGAGAATAACACTATAATCATAATAATAATGATTAGCAGTTTCCTGCAAATCTGTACCAAGAATACCAAAATCTTTGATTTCTTTTTTTCATCTTGTTGATGAAAGTAAGGGGATTGAGATCAATGAAAACAAAAATCGGAGAAAGAGCAGAATCTATCTACACATCAGAGTATCGTAAAGTCAAAATTAAAGCCAGACGATTCTCGATAGTGGAATAATTGTATTTTTTGTTAGATAAATAGCACACAGGAATTTAAAAAATGTAGATATACAGAACCTACTGAAATCAAATGTTCTTGCCAATATATTGCATGTTACAAGAGATCAGTGGCATTAATTGCTTTATTCTTTTAGTCTATTAGACCTTGGGCCACGTTTTACTTAATACGTAATAGAGTTTACCAATCGTCAAAACCGGATACAATGATCAGTGGCATTATTGATTTATTCTTTGAATCTCTTAGGCATTGGGCCACGTTTTACTTAATACGTAATAGAGTTCACCAATCGTCAACCGGATACAATATACTTGTTAGAAGCTGGCTTTTTACCCAATGCCGGTTATATTTTTTAGATGTATTTATGCGACGCGAATGTCCAAGATTTTTCTTGTTCATTTTCGTAAAGCTTACACACACACACATACACACACACACACACATACATACACATGCATGCATACTTACATACATAAACACACACACACACACACATATATATATATATATATATATATATATATATATATATATATATATATATATATATATATATATATATATATATATATATATATCCAGTTATAGAGCCAATTATAACTTCATAGTCGCGATTACACGGTTTCATCCAACGACGTCCCGTATCCGTGGCTGACACTAACCACTAGACCACCAGAGCGGATAACTAGCAGGTAGCGAGAAACCTGAAATACTACCGGATATAGTGTACGTCAGACAGCGTGAAGCCTGCAATACTCCAGAATATAAGACCGGTTCAGTGGCCTAGTGATTAGAGCGTCCACCTTTTATGCGGGAGGTTGCGCGTTCTATCCCGGGCTGAGTCATACCAAAGACTTGTAAATATGGTACTAATAGCTGCCTCGCTTGGCGCTCAGCATCAAGAGTTTGTGTTAGGAGTAGTCGGCCTGGTGTCAGGATAATATGACTGGGTGATACATTATGCTACATGTCTGCGGCATGATGACCCAGTACAAGACATCACTTTAAACTGTCACAAGACAGATATCGAAGAGATAAGACTGAAAAATTGTTAAAGCTACATTAAAAATTCTAATCACACACACACACACACACACACCTGAATATATTCAAGAAGTGAATATCAGTAGTACACAATTTATAATACTGTAGAGATTAAGATGATTAATGGATTTTTCGTCTATGTTTATTATAGTGCCACACTTGTTCCATGTTCGTGAATAAAACCTGTTGAGTAACCAATCTCTTAACGTTGGCATTGTTTCATAAATACCTATGCAGTTAACCATCAAGTGTACTACTGTAGCGTTCGGTTCAGGTAGGATGCAGAAGAACAATGCAGAAATTCCACTAATGCAATGCTCTCTCTCTCTCTCTCTCTCTCTCTCTCTCTCTCTCTCTCTCTCTCTCTCTCTCTCTCTCTCTCTCTCTCTGGAAACACATCACTGAGATATATTTTAGATTTAGGGCTGATTTTAATCACGATGGTTCGTTATATAAAGTAAAAAGGAGAATAACTTAAGATCATAATATGTAAACATTGTCATTAGATTAACGAGCCATATTTTGGCAACTTTTCTCAAACAGAACTATTAAGCTCAAAATTCCAATCTACTTGGAGTGCATATACGTCATTGAACCAACTTTAACAAGATGAATCTATAAGTCTAACTTTATTCTAACAAATGCTGCAGAACTTCAAAACTTTTAAACTTTGAGCATAAACTTTGGATTCATGCCCAATACGTTTGGAGAATATCAGGCCTGGTGTTTGTAATACCACTTTTTCGTGATTCTGCTGCCGCGCCTTTGATTCTGATAAATGGTGAGGTCACATGTATGCAAGGAAATACATCAATTATTGTCTCTCCTTTCCCCTCTCCTTGCTGCCCCCACCCCTATTTTTGGTCTCCATTTCTTCCTCTGTCATTAAAGCTAATTATCTAAGCATTCAAACGACAGCCTTATTGACTGATTGACCAAAAGTTATGCTCATTAAGTTTTAAATCAGAAAAATATTTTATACGTTGACAAAGTACATGCAAGTCACATATAATTATATGTTACTTATAGAATTATTTAAGAACTCAAAATAAGATTCATCAAGTCTGGAGTCAGGGCCACGTTGTAATATATTCTTCTGGATATTAGATTTGTATTTTACAACACTGTACATAAAGTAGCTTTTTATACGACCTTAACGGTATTCACTAGCGTTAAGAAGGAAGAAAAAAAATGATGTAATGTTTGTATTCTTTTTTTTAAAATCTTGAATAACAATTTTAGGCCTGTTGCGGAGGATCATCCTGACATTAGACTGACATTAAAATAGTCATGATGGACTGACATTGAAAGTCATGATGGACTGACACTTAAATGTGGTCAAAATGGACTGACATTAAAAGTGATGATTATAAACTGACGGTGAAATTTATTATGATGAACTGACATTGAAGATTATCATGATGGCCTGACAATGAAAATAATTATGATAGACTGGCACTGAAACTTCTCATATTCGATCACATGGAAAGTGGTCATGATGGACTGACATTGAAATAATGATGATATAACGACACTGACAGTCATGAAAGTGATCAAGATGGACTGACATTGAACGTGATCATGAAAGACTGACATTGAATGTGATCATGAAAGACTGATATTGAATATGATAATGGAAGACTGATATTGAATGTGATCATGAAAGACTGATTTTGAATGTGATCATGAAAGACTGATATTGAATATGATAATGGAAGACTGACATTGAATGTGATCATGAAAGACTGACATTGAATGTGATCATGAAAGACTGACATTGAATGTACTCATGAAAGACTGATTTTGAATGTGATCATGAAAGACTGACATTGAATGTGATCATGAAAGACTGACATTGAATGTGATCATGAAAGATTGACATTGAATGTGATCATGAAAGACTGACATTGAACGTGATCATGAAAGACTGACATTGAATGTGATCATGAAAGACTGACATTGAATGTGATCATGAAAGACTGACATTGAATGTGATCATGAAAGACTGACATTGAATGTGATCATGAAAGACTGACATTGAATGTGATCATGAAAGACTGACATTGAACGTGATCATGAAAGACTGACATTGAATGTGATCATGAAAGACTGATTTTGAATGTGATCATGAAAGACTGACATTGAATGTGATCATGAAAGACTGACATTGAATGTGATCATGAAAGACTGACATTGAATGTGATCATGAAAGACTGACATTGAACGTGATCATGAAAGACTGACATTGAATGTGATCATGAAAGACTGATTTTGAATGTGATCATGAAAGACTGATTTTGAATGTGATCATGAAAGACTGATTTTGAATGTGATCATGAAAGACTGATTTTGAATGTGATCATGAAAGACTGATATTGAATATGATAATGGAAGACTGACATTGAATGTGATCATGAAAGACTGACATTGAACGTGATCATGAAAGACTGACATTGAATGTACTCATGAAAGACTGATTTTGAATGTGATCATGAAAGACTGACATTGAACGTGATCATGAAAGACTGACATTGAATGTGATCATGAAAGACTGATATTGAATATGATAATGGAAGACTGACATTGAATGTGATCATGAAAGACTGACATTGAATGTGATCATGAAAGACTGACATTGAATGTGATCATGAAAGACTGACATTGAACGTGATCATGAAAGACTGACATTGAATGTGATCATGAAAGACTGACATTGAACGTGATCATGAAAGACTGATTTTGAATGTGATCATAAAAGACTGAATTTGAATGTGATCATGAAAGACTGACATTGAACGTGATCATGAAAGACTGACATTGAATGTGATCATGAAAGATTGATTTTGAATGTGATCATGAAAGACTGACATTGAATGTGATCATGAAAGACTGACATTGAATGTGATCATGAAAGACTGACATTGAATGTGATCATGAAAGACTGACATTGAATGTGATCATGAAAGACTGACATTGAATGTGATCATGAAAGACTGACATTGAATGTGATCATGAAAGACTGACATTGAATGTGATCATGAAAGATTGATTTTGAATGTGATCATGAAAGATTGACATTGAATGTGATCATGAAAGACTGACATTGAATGTGATCATGAAAGACTGACATTGAATGTGATCATGAAAGACTGACATTGAATGTGATCATGAAAGACTGACATTGAATGTGATCATGAAAGACTGACATTGAATGTGATCATGAAAGACTGACATTGAATGTGATCATGAAAGACTGACATTGAACGTGATCATGAAAGACTGACATTGAACGTGATCATGAAAGACTGATTTTGAATGTGATCATAAAAGACTGAATTTGAATGTGATCATGAAAGATTGACATTGAATGTGATCATGAAAGACTGACATTGAACGTGATCATGAAAGAGTGACATTGAACGTGATCATGAAAGACTGACATTGAATGTGATCATGAAAGATTGACATTGAATGTGATCATGAAAGACTGACATTGAATGTGATCATGAAAGACTGACATTGAATGTGATCATGAAAGACTGACATTGAATGTGATCATGAAAGATTGACATTGAATGTGATCATGAAAGACTGACATTGAATGTGATCATGAAAGAATGACATTCAATGTGATCATTAAAGACTGACATTGAATGTGATCATGAAAGACTGACATTGAATGTGATCATGAAAGACTGACATTGAATTTGATCATGAAAGACTGACATTGAATGTGATCATGAAAGACTGACATTGAATGTGATCATGAAAGACTGACATTGAATGTGATCATGAAAGACTGACATTGAATGTGATCATGAAAGACTGACATTGAATGTGATCATGAAAGACTGACATTGAATGTGATCATGAAAGACTGACATTGAATGTGATCATGAAAGACTGACATTGAATGTGATCATGAAAGACTGACATTGAATGTGATCATGAAAGACTGACATTGAATGTGATCATGAAAGACTGACATTGAATGTGATCATGAAAGACTGACATTGAATTTGATCATGAAAGACTGACATTGAATTTGATCATGAAAGACTGACATTGAATTTGATCATGAAAGACTGACATTGAATTTGATCATGAAAGACTGACATTGAATTTGATCATGAAAGACTGACATTGAACGTGATCATGAAAGACTGACATTGAATGTGATCATGAAAGACTGACATTGAATTTGATCATGAAAGACTGACATTGAATTTGATCATGAAAGACTGACATTGAATTTGATCATGAAAGACTGACATTGAATTTGATCATGAAAGACTGACATTGAATTTGATCATGAAAGACTGACATTGAATTTGATCATGAAAGACTGACATTGAATGTGATCATGAAAGACTGACATTGAATTTGATCATGAAAGACTGACATTGAACGTGATCATGAAAGACTGATTTTGAAAGTAGTTATAATAGACTTAAATTTAAAGTTGTCATGATGGACTAACGTTGAAAGTGGTCATGATAGATTGTCATTGAAAGTCGATAAGATGGAATGGCACCGAAAGCGTTTGTGATAGATTGATATTACAAGAGACAATCATAGTGGTCATAACAGACTAATGTTGAAAGCAGTAATAAAGGGAAATAACGCATGATACGTATGTAAACCCATGGTGAATATGGCAGCTATTTTTAAAATCATGTTTATGCTTGCTGATCGTAAACGAGCGTTCATATCGATATATGGTTACTGCTTCATGACTTCGTATGATACGCAGTTAGTCCTAAATAGAAGTGGTGTGGAGATGAAATTCCTTGACCAACTT